CCTACTGCCAATGCTTAATGTGATGTGGAACATCTGCCCTGCAGAGACTAAAGCCTGGATTCAGCAAAGTACTTAAGTATCTTGCTGATACAGGGTTCACCTATACACTCCTATAGTTAATAGGGATGGCAAGTATGTATTGCAACACTGGTGGGGGAGACTGGTGCACAACAGTCAGCACACTATCCTTGATAGATAGGGAACTTGAAACCAATGGCATGGGCACCATGATGTTTGGACAGCCTCTATTTGCTGCAGCCTTCATACACCTTCACAGTCGTAACATTACACAACAATTTCACTTCCATTGTGCAGTTATCCTCCCTCTGTTCTGCTGTTAGGGACTTCTTGGATCACACTTTGTCTGGAACCCTTGCCCTTGACTGTTGTGCCATGGGTAGCTCTAAGGGAGTACATTACTCCAGGCTGCATCGCTCTCTGGGTCATTGAGACACGCAAGCCTCTCCACCACTAAAAGGTGGTGATCCATGGAGAGGAAAAAACAAGTCCTAGACAGGCATCTTCCAGTTTTTGGGAAAAATAATATTGCACAAGTCAAAAGTCCGGTGGCAATCGGTGAGTGGCGATGGGAACAGGACAGTGAAATCCGGAAGTTCCTAGTTACAGACTGACACACAGGCGGTGGGTGTATGATACAATCATCTTGCTCGAGATTTGAGGCGGATCGAGCATCTCAGCAGCTGCACCCACGACTGAGCAGTCCTTTTTAGGATCCATTCTGCTCACCCCACTTGGGGAGGGGGTTAGAAAAGGTACCCTAAAAATAGTCTTGCCTCTGTTTTTCCTGGCTGGATAGCCACATCCAGCAGGATCACCACCTCAGCAGTCGAAAATGTAAGAAACTCTTCAACTTTGGAACTTATGTACCCTGATGGACAACTCAAACAGCGACTGACCAGAGCAACATACAGCCATTATTGCTTGTGAATTGAGTCAGTTTAACATCGGTATTGCTGCTTTGTCTGAAACTAGAAGAGCTGATGAGGGACAGATGAGGGAGAAGAAACGAGGATACACCTATTTCTGGAAGAAAATCTATTGATGAATCTTGATTGCATGGAGTGGGCTTTGCTATAAAGAACAAGCTTGTAAGGTGCGTCTCTGAGGTACCAGTTGGCATCAATGAGCGGTTTATGACACTCCGATTGAGGCTCACCAAAAATCAACAGGCAACTATTGTGAGCACCTAGGCACCAACACTGGATGCCGATGAGAATGTAAAGGAAGATTTTTATTCTCAGTTGGAAACCAACTTATTGGCGACCCCTACAGAAGACAAGAACATCCTCCTGGGGGATTTCAATGCATGTGTGGGACGAGACTCAGACCTGTGGAAGGGAACAATCGGGAAAGAAGGAGTTGGCAAAAGCAATTCAAATGGAATTCTGCTCCTGACCAAGTGTGCTGAACATGAACTTATTATTACGAACACTCTCTTCCCACAAAAGGAAAAGTTCAAAACATTTTGGAGACATCCACAGTCAAAGCACTGGCATCTCCTCGACTACATTATAGTTTGTGCCCAAGATCATAGCGACGTACTTCTCACAGGAACAATGACAAGTGCTGATGACTGTTGGACTGATCATCGCCTTATTCGAACCACAATGAAAATTAAGATCGCTCCCAAATGGAGGCTGCAAAAGAAGCAGGTCAGGCGCAAGTTGAAGATTCAAGATTTGAAGGCACCTATTAAGCGTGACCACTTCCAAGCAGTCTGAGAAGAAAAGCTGCCATCAGAGTTTCCAGAAGAAATTGAGGAACACTGGAGCCAGTTGAAAGCTGTAATCATCAATGCCTGTGAGGAAACCATAGGCTACCAAACCAGAAAACATCAGGACTGGTTTAATGAGAATGATGCTGAAATTGAGCAACTCGTTAATGAGAAAGGAATGGCATTTTGTGCTTGACTGAATGACATAAATTGTAATATAAAGAGAGAAGCCCATGCCAAGGCCCGGGCGGAAGTCCAACATAAAACCAGAGTACTCAAGAATAAATGGTGGACTGAGAAAGCGCAAGAACTCCAACATCTCACGGACATCCACAATACATGTGGTTTCTTTAGTGCCACCAAGGCTGTTTTATGAGCCAATTTGCCATGGTATGAATCTTCTTCTCTCTAAGGATGGAACCACACTTCTGAAGGACAACGAAGCCATCAATTCTTGCTGGAAAGAACATTTTGAAGCTCTCCTTAACCGTAATTCTATGGTTGCAGATGAAGTCCTTGAGTAAATCCCTCAACAACCATTTAGGGATGAGCTCAGAGACCTCCTAATTTGTCTGAGGTACACAATGCCACCAAGCAGATAAAGAACAACAAGGCAGCAGGTCTAGATGGGATCCCCACTGAAATTTTTAAAGACGGTGGACCAGAGCAAATTCGGTAGCTTTACCTGCTTATCCTTAAAATCTGGATAAAGGAGGAGATACCCAGTGAAATGAGGGATGCCCTGATTGTCACTCTCTTCAAGAAAGAGGATAAAGCAGATTGTGGAAATTGTCGTGGTATCTCCCTCCTAGCCATTGCAGGCAAAGTTCTGGCGCGGATCCTTGCAACTCGCCTTCTGCCCCTGTCAGAAGAAATTTTACCGGAGTCACAGAGTGGTTTCCGACCATGTCGTGGAACTGTGGATATAACCTTCAAAGAACGGCAGCTGCGAGAAAAGTGTCAGGAGCAAAACCAACCACTGTACATGGCTTTTATTGATTTAACTAAAGCCTTTGATTCAGTGAATCGCCGTGTCCTCTGGACTGTACTCTCTAAGATTGGATGTCCCGATAAATACATCAATGTCCTAAAATTGCTTCATTATAACATGAAAGCGACTGTTCTGAGCAGCACTGGCTCCCAGAGCAAACCTTTCAAAGTACAAATAGGAGTAAAACAAGGCAGTATCATCGCTCCAACCATGTTTGCGGTTTCCATCACTGTCATTCTTTACCTAGTTGCTGGGAAGTTTACCGCTGGCGTTGAAATCACTTACAAAATGGATGGAAAGCTGTTCAGGCTTAGCAGGATGAAAGCCAAGAGTAAGATCTCCACAACATCTATTGTGGAACTCCAGTATGCTGATTACAACACAATCTTTGCCCACTCTGAGAAAGATCTTCAAACTATCTTGAATGTGTTTGCCGATGCTTACGCATGTCTTGGTCTCACTCTTAATATCAAGAAGACTAAAGTGCTCTATCAGCCCTCTCCAAATAAGGTATTACACGCCCCATCTATCAAAAATCAATGGAGTGGCACTGCAGAATGTCGATCATTTCCTCTACCTTGGAAGTCATCTTTCATCCAAGGCAGATATTGATGCAGAAATTCAACATTGCCTGAGCTGTGCCAGTGTAGCCTTTTCTCGGTTACGGCACAGGATTTTTGAAGATCACGACATTCAAACAGACACCAAGCTTCTTGTTTATCATGACGTTAGTCTCCCAATACTATTGTATGGGTCCAAAACTTGGACAACCTATAGACACCACTTGAAAGTCCTTGAGAGGTGCCATCAACGCTGCCTTCGTAAGATTCTGAAGATCAAATGGGAAGACAGGTGCACCAATGTTAGTGTCCTGGAAGAGGCAATGACCACCAGTATCGAGGCAATGATCATCTGTCAGCAATTCCACTGGACTGGACACATTGTCCGGATGCCAGACCATTGCCTCCCAAAACAGGTCCTGTTCTCTCAGCTGAAAGAAGGGTACCGTAACGTGGGTGGACAACGGAATTGATATAAGGACTTATTGAAGGACAACCTAAAAATGTGTAATATTGACATTGACACTTGGGAGACACTTGCCCAGGATTGCTTAAAATGGGGTGAAGTCTTACATGATGGTCCCCTGCATTTTGAACTTGTTCGCCAACAAGCTGAAGAGGACAAGAGACACAGAAGGAAGGAGAGACTGACTTCCAGTCATGGTCAACAGCCTCCTGCTGAGCCTGAAAACATCTGCCATCATTGCAATAGAACTTGTGGTTCAAGGATTGGTCTTATTAGCCACCAGAGGATCCATAACTCCCATGGAAGATGATCATACTCGGTAACGAGTGATCGCCCATCATCATCATTACCACACTTAGGATAAGAGCCAAGCAGCAAATTACTTTTGGTGGAGGAAGGGGAGGGAGAATCTTACTGTTGGTCAGGGTGAGTCATCTGCTAAGGAAATAGTGCTGTCTCTTCTTTGATCTCCACATCTATTTTCTCCCCCTGTTCTGGCCCATTCACCATAGTGCAGCTAAAACTATCTTGCCCAATACTGACCACTTCACCTAGTGGATCCCAGTTCTCAAATCTCCCCATTGGGTTCATGTCTCATTCTTCAGCAAGATCAAACTCAATCTCACCATAGAAGTCTTATATGGGGCAACCCCTTGCCTACTTCTTGGCTCTCTCACCACTTCCTCTTGTGAATGGATTGATTAGGATTTAATTAAAATGGTCCTATCCTTAGCTCTGGGCACATCATACACTCAGAATCTGTAACCTCCTCAAACCTGGAAAAGCCTCACTCTTCCATTATGCCAAGCAACCTCACTCTGTTCTGTGGGCTAGCATTTCCACCCTTTTACTTTTTAATTTGGCTTATGTTAAACTACAGAGCCCCTTGGAATTTATAAAATGATGGTGCTGCTCAATTGCCCAATCATTTTGCTTTTTTGTTGCATTCTCCACTGCCCTCTGTGCTGATGTCTTTTTTTTCCCTTACATATCTTTAAAGTGCCTAGCCCACCTAAAGGTGCTACGGAAAGAATAAATAACATACAATGTAAACAGAACCTGAATAAATAAAATGCATAACCTAATCATGTCTTGCCACCCATCCTAAGACTGCAGAACTGAGTAATGTAGAAACATTTCTGAAAATAAGGAAGAGAGAATGCAGAAATCACCTGTATCTATATTCTTGGGGGACTCACTTCCTGCTAACTTTTGGTAATCTGTTGGTTCTTTCATTCTTTCATGCAGTGCGCGACCAGAGGTATCAACTTTGACTGACTGGTCTGCCCCAATTGTATGGGATGGTACATTCAAGAGATCTGTGCTAGAAGACTATTATAGCAAGAGAAACGTCACGATGGGTTTGACAGTTTTTGCCATCAGGAAGTAAGTACTGCTAGTTACTACTCTGGACTTATTTTTAAACCTTGGGATTGCTACAGAAAACCAGCATGCTGTAATTTACAGCAAGGAAATTAGAAGCCTTTCCACTGTTATAAAATGCTTAAATGTGCACAGCACTTTTTAAAATGAACAAGGTGATGTGGTCCCACCTGTGTGGAACATATAAGGTTATGAACAGAAATATCAGGGCTGGCATTCAGATTTGGATGAAAGAGCAGTATAAGGGTGTGGAAGAAGTAGGTTTTAAGGAGGAAAGGATGGAAGTATATCTTAGAGGACAAGAGGAGGGACTCCCATGAAAGAGTGAGGGGAAAAGCAGAGAAAGAAGGCAGTAAGGCTTGGGAGGAGCAACAGGAGATGAGAAGAGGTGGATAGTAAGATGCCAGGTGAGGAGCTGACAGCTAGCAGTGTTAAAAATATTTAGAAGACTAAAGTCTATATTTAAACTTCCAAGTTTAAGATGCTATATTTTCATAACAATACTTAGGTTATGTGTGCATTTTTCAACTTCAGAGTGCTTTGCAAACATTAGCTATTTCTTACAATACTCCTTGAAGCAAGGGATCATTGTTCCCACTTCAAAGATGGGGGAACGGAGACAGAGAGGTTGTGAGTGGTCAAAGCCACAGAAAGAGCGGGTATCAGAACCCGGTTTAGAACTCCTGTCAAGGTTCCTCCCCCACTCTGAACTCTAGGGTACAGATGTGGGGACCTGCATGAAAAACCTCCTAAGCTTATCTTTACCAGCTTAGGTCAAAACTTCCCCAAGGTACAAAATATTCCACCTGTTGTCCTTGGATTGGCCGCTACCACCACCAAACTAATACTGGTTACTGGGGAAGAGCTGTTTGGACGCGTCTTTCCCCCCAAAATACTTCCCAAAACCTTGCACCCCACTTCCTGGACAAGGTTTGGTAAAAAGCCTCACCAATTTGCCTAGGTGACTACAGACCCAGACCCTTGGATCTTAAGAACAATGAACAATCCTCCCAACACTTGCACCCCCCCTTTTCTGGGAAATGTTGGATAAAAAGCCTCACCAATTTGCATAGGTGACCACAGACCCAAACCCTTGGATCTGAGAACAAGGAAAAAGCATTCAGTTTCTTACAAGAAGACTTTTAATAAAAATAGAAGTAAATAGAAATAAAGAAATTCCCCCTGTAAAATCAGGATGGTAGATATCTTACAGGGTAATTAGATTCAAAAACATAGAGAACCCCTCTAGGCAAAACCTTAAGTTACAAAAAAGATACACAGACAGAAATAGTTATTCTATTCAGCACAATTCTTTTCTCAGCCATTTAAAGAAATCATAATCTAACACATACCTAGCTAGATTACTTACTAAAAGTTCTAAGACTCCATTCCTGGTCTATCCCCAGCAGAAACCAGCATATAGACAGACACACAGACCCTTTGTTTCTCTCCCTCCTCCCAGCTTTTGAAAGTATCTTGTCTCCTCATTGGTCATTTTGGTCAGGTGCCAGCGAGGTTACCTTTAGCTTCTTAACCCTTTACAGGTGAGAGGAGCTTTCCCCTGGCCAGGAGGGATTTCAAAGGGGTTTACCCTTCCCTTTATATTTATGACAACTCCATTTCTTGGTATTCCATCCTGTGCTGTATTCAGAGCTCATAGTGCGAGTAGCCTGTTGGGCTTTTTATTTGAGCACTGTACAGTTTACATAAATTGCCCATAAAGTTGCCACTCCCAGCATTAGAGAAACCTGCTGAGATTTTTCTTTCTGAAATTGCTTTTTACAGTACTTTACAAAAACTTTTGCTAATAATGCAAAGAGCAAGTAAATTATTGAAAATGAATTAGGGATGGCACTTCCAGAATAAATACTTTGGCTTTAGCCAGAACTTTAATTTCTGAATCAGCATGGCATGGTCCATAGTAGCCAAGCAATAATACCCTTCCTCTTCTTGCAGTTCTGTAGGTACCCCCTCCACTTTCCATAAGGAGACATTTCTCAAAGCATGATCTCAAAAATCCAGATTCTTAACTCTTCACTTGTGCTATTTTCTAATGAGCTATCTAACCCTTTGACACACACAACAATTGGACTCAGTATTACTGCTCCCGCTGTCATTTGATTTTTTATAAATACATTAATATATGGAAAATGAAGCCTAATATTTAAGGCATTTCTCCGGTTGACTTGAAATCTTAGTCTCTTTTTAAAAATTGCTGAATCCCTCTCCATGTCAGAATAAACTGAATATTGCATGCTGGACCATAACAGGCTACATGCCGACAAACCCCTATTAACTACATTGGGCTTGCCCAGGTTTGAAGATTGCATCAGGTTTGGCTCACTTTTTTCCTCCCTCTTTCTTCACAACATACTCTAATGTAAAAAGATTTCAATTTCATCTCTACTTATTGTGGCATATATACAGGAGCAGAGATGGCCAACGTGATATGGTTAATGCAATAACGTAAGGGGCTCATATTGAGAATACAAGCATATTTTCCATAATATACCTTATAACCATCTGTCTATATTAGCTTATGTGCCACAGGCATGTAAGAAGAACATCTGATGAAAAACAGAGGGTAGAACTCTTAGAAGATTTCCTTTGTATAGAACAGTGGTTCTCAAACTTTTGTACTGGTGACCCCTTTCAAATAACAAGCCTCTGAGTATGACCCGCCCTTATCAATTAAAAACACTCAATATATTTAACACCATTATAAATGCTGGATGCAAACGGGTTTGGGGTGGAGGCTGACAGCTTGCGACCCCGCATGTAATAACCTCCCGACCCCCAGTTTGAGAACCCCTGGTATAGAGTATACACAGCACTTGCATGTACCCCACTTCTTAAATATTATTGTGTAAAACGAAATTGTATTTACCTGTTAGCATACTCTATAAATAGCAAGTTTTAGAAGGTAATTATAACTAAACTGTAATGTTTTCTCTACTCAGAAATTCTGCATTATATGGCTCAAAGTCAAAAACAAATTTTTTTTTGTTTTGATTTATTCAAAATATGGTTGCCATTTTTTAAAATCAACCACTATTTCCTCTTTTAAAAAAAAACCCAAAAGCTCAGACTTCTAAAAGTTTAGAACCTAACTGCTGGTTTATTTTCCACTATTTTCTTGTTATTCTAAGAAAGTTTTCTTAATTATTCAGTCTGTTACATGTTGACATGGATATGTAACACTTTTCAAGCACACACAATTCTATATTATGTACATACATTTATATACCCACTCTTTATATATCAGACATGCAATGGTTGAGACAATCTTGAATCACAAGCACCCAAGAAGTTTAATTTTCTCAGACTGCACAGTTTGGAGTTTATTATGAAATATTACTGGACCAAATTCAGAAGTGACAGATGGTAGATGATGCAATTTACACTGAGAAGACAGAAGGGTGGGGTTGTAGCAGGAGCAGCACACTAAAGTTGTAAAATAATGCAGCTTCCCCAGCTCATCTTGTTTGAGAAGTGTAAGATCCAGTGTCCATTCTTCCTCCCCTGACTTTCTTCAAATCCTACTACTCCTGTTTTATAGTTACTGTTCAGTAGTTCTGAGCCATGTCAAGGTTCCATAATCATGAACTGGAACTTTATTAAAGCCAAGTGATTTTTAAAAAAGGCAGGACTGGTGTAAGAAAAGTCAATGTGGAGTCAAAACCCTCCCCTTGCAAAAACCTCACAGTTTTTCTATACCCATCCCCTCTGGAGGAGTTTGGAGGCCATGGCCCTTCCCAACGTTAGAGGTCTTCATAGAGATAGGAGTCATCCTGCAGGAATACCTGCCACTCCGCTTGTCCGCTTCTCCTCCCAGACAGACGGCTCTAGCGGGAGCCATACTAAGATTGCATGGGGTCCCCCACAGCTCTTCTTTGGAGACGTAATTCACCATTATTTCCTGTAATGTATATGACTTGGATAATATCCCTTTAAATTGTTTTTGAAACGTCTAGGGGTACAGCGTCTTCTAAGTTTCATAGAACCCTGCCAGAGTACGAGTATATGTAACTAGGCCTTGCATGTTGTATATAGTTGGTGTAAACAGTTATTTTGATCCCACCATGCCTGTGTGGTTCCTTCCTATTACGTTTCTTGTGTAAAGACCAAAAGAGAACACTAATCTGCTGAAATCTTGCATTCTGCAAGGCACAGTGCTGTGCAAAGCAGCACCTTCCTATCTCCACTCCCTGTTGCCACACATCTCTGAACCTGACAGAGGCCCTTCCATGTGGAATGGAGGGGTTCCCCCTTCTAGGCAGAACCAAATGAGACACTTTGGATGAGGGTTAAATCTCCACTGTATTTATTTTATAACATGAGCATTAGATGCCAGTGACTGCAAATGATACAACTATGAATGCTAGCGTTGTCCCTCTGAGATGTCTGAAATTAGTTTACCCCCAAGAACTCCAGCAGAGCACTTTCCCTCACAGGACTGTGCTGAAAAATTTTGTCCCCAGGACAATTCCAAAGCCTCCAAAGACCTGATTCAGGCAAGAAAATCAACTGCCATCAAAGAAGACTAGTGGCCACTACACAAATTGTCCTCAGTGTTTTCTCCATAGGGGAAGAAAACTCATCTACAAACAGTAATCACATACTTATTAATTAAGACAATACAGAAACAGCAACTGGTATCTATAAACCATATATTGATCAGATATCTCTAACAGATCATATATGGGCTGTAACTACATTTGATGGAGGAGAGAAACTGTCTCTAGAACACTCTGCTTCAACACAGTACTGTGGCTAATAAGCTGACTATTAAAAAACAAAAGTAAAGAGATCAGAATTCAAGAAAAGATTATGTAAGTACAGGCTCTGCCAGGGACATAAAGGAGAGTTAATACTGATGCAAGAATTTCAGCTTTGGGAATGGGTGTGACCCTGAACTTCTACAGAAGGCAAATCTCTCAAACTCAGTGGAATTTTTGCCTTCATAAGGACAAGGGATTGGATTTAATAAAACTTATTTAACA